TATATTTTAAAAGTGTTGGAAAATGGCGGCGAATGCTTGAGTATTTTGTACAATTTAAAATAAGATGTGAAATATTTTCCACTGCATTGCATGTGTCGCAAAGAGCATTGTCAAAAATATTCATTTTGGATAAAGTGAACTTATCGAACGCATGTCCGCTAAGGATTCTATTTAATTGTTTTGTGTCTAAACGGTCGAAAAAATCCGTTTTATAGAACCAGGGTTTCTTGGTGATAAAAGGCATAAAGTTTGAATAGCCTTTATTACGTTCCATAGAGAAAACGTTATAGTCTCTTTCCCAATCATCTTGAATATAATGAAATATATAGTTGATCGCATCACTCAATGTCCATCTAACATATTTGAAGGAGCCGTGTATAGAAGCATTTTTTGCTGCTCTATCAGCAATTTCGTTTTCCCAAATATTTGCATGGCTGGGTATGTGGTGAACTACAACCTTTGAGAGCGTGGGACAATTTTCGATTTTGGAGAATATTTCCTGGGCAATATAATTGTTGGAGCCGTTATTTTGTAGAGTTTGTAAAGCGCCAAGGCTATCCGTCAGTATGGCTATCTTTGGGAAGCTGTTGGAAATTGCAAAATCAATGGCTTTTTCCAAGGCTAAAAGTTCAGCGGTCATAGACGACAGCTTTTTGTTAGTAAAGAAACTATCAACAGTATTTGACTTTGAATGAACAAATGCATAACCTGTAAAATTTTCCGAGACTGAACCGTCCGTGTAAAAAATTTCCATGTGTAAGTTATTAAAAGAATTCAATTTTTCGTTCAACAAAGTAAAAACAATGACTTCATTAGCTTGCTTTTTGTTAACGCAGGTACCTTTAAAAAATTTGTGTCTAGGGATAATTTGCGAGGAAAAGTAAAAATAGAGTTGATGGGAGCAATATGATTAAAAAGGTTTATATATTTAGAATAAATTCTAAAGAGTGAAGCAGATGGAAGTTTGAACGCGAAGGATTTGGCTAACTCTTTAGCTGTAGCGAATTCAATTCTGTAAATGGGAGGTAGTTCAGCAGCGAGATGATAAATAATTTTGACAGGAGTTGACTTAATAAGGCCTAATGCTTTTCTCAGGTGAAAATTAGCGTGGGAATTAATAATATTAAGAGCTGCTTTAGACAAGTTAGCGAATGAGGAACAGGCGTACTCAAACCTAGATCTTATAAAAGCTTTATAAAAAAGAAGCGATTTACTTGGATGAACTCCGAAATGGCAACCACTTAGCATTTGTAGAAACATATTTATTTGATTTGATTTTGAAATAATTTTTTTAACATGTGGTACAGACGAGTTGTTAGAACTTATGATTCTACCCAAATAGTTGACACTATTTACATTATTTAAGGTGATGTTATTACACTGTACGTTAAGAGGTCTTCTCCTAAGATTAAAGTGTATAGTGGCTGATTTATTTGCATTAAATGAAAGATTGATTAAATTGCACATTTCCCTAAAAAGATTCACTTTCTGCTCTAATTTAGATTCAGCCAACGAAAAAACCTTGTCATAGCAAACTAAAAAAAAAATCGTCCGCGTACTGGAAAAGAGTACTGTCATGATTGTTGCTTAGATTATGAAGCTCAAGAGTGTAAAGATTAAATAGAATTGGGCTAAGACAGCTTCCCTGACTAACCCCTTTGTCGACTGTAACCTCTGCCTTGCCCAAAGTTAAAATTCTTTTATTAAGGAAATTGATAATGAATTTAATATGGGAGTGGTTAAAACCTAAATTAACTAATTTTTTACCTAGGATAGGAATTTTGACCGCGTCAAACGCTTTATTTAAATCAAGAACTGCTGCTGTAACATGGAAGCCACGAGCTTTTAAATTAGCTATAGTGTTGATCACATCATTGATACATTGCGATGTTGAATGGTTTTTCCTAAAAGCATAGGACCTTGGAGGGAGGATTTCGTGTCTATTAATGTGATTCTCCATACTCGATTTAATTAGGCCCTCTAAACATTTGAAAATTACACTTAGAAGGCAAATAGGTCTATTGTTTGTAATTATAGAAGAGTCGAGGTTTTTCTTTGGCACAGGAATAACTTTTATTCTACGCCAATTATCTGGAATATTACCTTGGTCTAAAGTAGAATTAAGCAAGGAAACAAGGTTTTCTAATTGCACAGTAGGTAAGGCTAGGAGCATTCTATTTGATATCTTATCGAGTCCCTTAGCAGAATCAGGGTTACGGGATTTGAGAAAGACAAGAAGTTCATGATATGTGAAGTTTGAGATAGAATTTGTGTAAAGTAAGTCGTCAGGGAAAATAACATCAGAACAAGTATCAGTGTTAGGAGCTGTGGCTATTTGACTAAGAAAAGCTTGGTGGTCCGAGTCAGAAAATGAACTTTTGGAAGGTTTTATAAAGTTGTTTATAAAGTTTAAGGGAATGAATTTTTCCCCACATATCTTTCATTGAGGAAGGGTCAGATAAATCATCTAAAAGCCTGTTTAGGTTATTCTTTCTCATTTTATAAAAGTAATTATTAAGTTTTCTATTACTGTTAATATAGGCAATAGCATCTGTATAAAGCTTGGATTTAAAATATTTTTGTCTGCACGCGTTTCTTAGCCTAAACAGTTTTTCACAAACCTCATCCCAATATTTTTTAGGAACGTATCTATTATTCCCATTTAATTTTATCGTATTATTGGCGTGAATGTTTAGAGAAGAAGTAAAAAGGGTGTCTAGAGAAGTAATATCAACATTTGAGAAATCTTTAATAATTTTTGGGTGATTATATTTATAAGAGTTAAAAGAAGCCGAAACATTATCAACTTCAATTAAAACCGGAAAGTGATTGCTATTCGAAATTTTAGAATTAACTGAAGCCCATTTAAATCTAAGATGATTATTATTTGTGAAAGTGACATCAAGGGTAGAGAAATAGGACGGATTAGGTGAGTAGGTTGGATCGCCATTGTTAATGCAGAAAAATCCTGAATTTAAAAGAGCGTTTTCCAAGATGACTCCTCTGGCATCAAGTGTGTTGAAAGTGTCAAACCGAGTCAAACATTGTAATTGTTTAATTTTCTTCATATGAGTAAATAATGAAAATGCACTTCTATGCGCTTTCGAAGAAATTCATAATTTAAGGAGGCAACCTCAAAACCTTGAATGTGAATCTGTCAGCTGTGAGACTAGTGCAAAACTGATTTAAATTAAAAACAAAAAAAAAAAAGATTTTTAATTAAAAAATAAAAACCACACCTACTTTTCCAAAAGAAGACCATGGCTTTATAAAAAACTAAAAATGAACCATATTGAAATATCTTGCTTAGCTCTACAGTTAGCATGTTATTTATAGGGCGCGGTGCCACGCCACAATTTTTTCAAATCTGAGTTCTTTTGACCATATAAACTTAAACAAAAAATCAAAAACTAAATATCTTGCTTAGTTTTTGAGTTAGAATGTGTTTCTTAAAAAGTGGGCGGTGCCACGCCCACATTTTTTTTAAATCTTAAATCTATTGACCATGTGAACTCAAATCAAAAATCACAGCTTAAATATCTTGTTATATATATAATATATATGTCTTGTCTAAATTTCTTGTTATAATATATATAAATATCGTTCTTGGGATATTATTTTTGGCCAGAAAAAGTGGTCATATTTCCTATAGTGCACTGATTTTAATGATTTTAATGCTAAGTATAAGAAAGGAACAGCAGAAAGCCTTAAATGCCTTAAAAAACCCTAAAGAAAACCTTATATGACAAAATTAAAAAAAACTAATAAAATTAAAAGATGCATAACTTTAAAAAAAAATAAATGTATCTAAACATTCTTTATTTCGTTGGCAAGTTTTTTAAAATATTCATTAAATTTTCCTTGAGACCAAACGAATAAATCAGGGGTCGGCAGAGCTCTGTTCCAGGGGCATAGCAAATTTCTCAAGAGGTATACGTAATTTAAAAAATTATAGAAAAAATTCACAAATATGAATTTTGGTCATATTTTAGTTACTAACATCTTCAATTTTTTCAGAATTGGGGGAAAAGCTGTTAATTTTCGTATTGTGGGACAAACAATATTTTGATGCGAACTTTAAGGTATTGGGGTATTGCGCCAATTATAACCAACAATATTTTTAATTTATATTTTTACACGCAAAAAGATTCAAAAGCAACAAATCGATATAAGTATAAAAAAAGTATCGAGTATAAAAATACCAAAGTTTGTATTTTTAACAAATATCATTACCGATAGTTCAGTTCAAGAAATAGACGTCCGATTGTTATGAAACTCGGTAAGTCGGATCGTTTGACCAAACATAGAATCTGTACGAAGTTCCAACTTTCTGTGTTCAAAAACACGAAAATTGGGTCATTTCCAATTGTTCAGTTATATGGCAGCTATAGGATACAGCCGGCCGATCTTTATGAAATTTGATAGATCGTATTATTTTGTCAAAAATAGCATTCGTAAAAAATTCGAACTCTATAACTCTAAAAACACTGAATGAATAGCATACATACATGTATAAGAATACATGTATATACTTTATATGGTCGGAGATGTCTCCTTCACTGGGTTGCACACTTTTGGACAAAATTATAATAAGGGTATAAAAATGCCAGTAAGTACTGGCACTGGCAGTACTGGCTTCTGTGACTTCTCCATTCTCTCCCTTTTCCTGGGGGTGGGCGCGAAGCCACTCTCAATAAAAATTTAAGGCGTAGATCTTACCGACTAATCGTGGTCGTCTTTCAAAAAGTATTCACTTCTTAGAAGGTATTTACTTTTATAAGTAGTTACTTTTTATAATGGTATAATGGCCAGATCATAGCCTATTGGTGCTCAGGAAGAATAGGCAATAAGAGATCTTTTAGGAAAAAAGTACTCCAATAACAATGTTCTAGAATCTAGATACTTAGGAAAAATACTTCATAAGATAAAGATTTTATAAGCTGAACACTTTTGGATAAAATAATTTTACTATCTGATAGAATATTAATTCAATTAATTACCTTTATGTACAATAGAGTGAATATGAGACTTTGGTTCTTGAACATCGTTTTGGTGCAGAAGCGAATACGAAAATATTCTTGAATCTGGAAAAAAGGGTTACTTTTATAAATGAATGAATATATAATTAAAACGCACCTGAAGCTTGATTAACATCTTTATTTTCCACATCGCTGTTTAAATGGAAAGCTGCATCAATACTAGAACTCTTATCACTGTGTTCATTGGGAAATAAAGTCGAAGGTTGTTCTGTTGTCGACTTTATCATTTGTTTGGGATGCAATACCGTTAATGTTAATGTGTATTCCGCACTTTTGTACAGCGATCTTATTTGCGCACATGAGAGTTTAAAAACTCTATTTAAATAATAGGCCGGCTTTTTATTACTATAGACAAGAGACCGTAACACATTCAAATAATTATGTATGGTGTCCAGTCCAATCATTTCCACGCCATCTTTATCTATATTTGTCTTAATATCCATAGTAGACGACAATGACTCGTCACCGTCTATTTGAATATCTTCATGATCTGGATTTAAAGAAGGAAACACAACAACGCTGCAGGAATCAAGCCGATTTGTTCCAGATTTTGTTCCACTATTCTTAGATAACATGTCAATGTAAATTTTATCTAAAATGTGTACGCCCAACTTAATTTCTTGATAAGAAACCAATTTATTTGTAGTTCCTACAACAAAATATTGTGTATAAAAAATTATATATTATATAATTTTAAATATATGAGCATTCAATTTAGGATTATAATAAAAGATATACGTAATTTATGTATAGTAGGGCGGGTCAATTTTTGTTCGAAAAAATCGTCCCCCATAATCGGAATCTACGAAGAATTCTAAGAAAATTTCACCATGAAACCATGTGTCTTAAATGAATTCCTAGCTCACTATGAGGTATTTCGAGGTATTTAAGACATTTTAATGTATTTAAAAAAAAAAAAATACGCATTTTTCAATTATGTTGGAGTCAATTCTGATTCATTATACTGATGGTATTATACTTTTATCCAAAAGTGTGCGACGCAGTGAAGGAGACTACCCGACCCTATAAAGTATACATATATATTCTTGATCAGACTCATCTCCTAAGTTGATATAAGCATGCCCGTCTGTCTGTTTCTACGCAAACTTGTCTTTCATTTTTAAAGCTATCTACTTAACTTTTTGTGTGAAACTTTACACACACTATTTTTTTTTTGCACGCAGTATATGTATAAGTCGGAACGACCAGGAATACTATAGCTGCCATATAACTGATTGATTGGAAATGGTGTAACATTACATTAATGTAATAATGTAATGTTTTTATTGTTAGAGAGTTCAGATGTAAAAATTCTATTTTTCGCTACAACAACATATTATGCATAGATTCTTACTTAAACAATGTTCATCTAAGAAGAAATTTATCGCTTCAAGGCGACCATTCTGGCAGGAACCAAAACAACAATGTGTTTCTTGCAGCTAAAAGTTTTTGGCTCGCAAACAACAAAACGCATCCGGAATTGAGAAAAATAGGGATGACAGGAAACATTTTTTTTTGTAGTTGGCATTCGTCAATGCTGGGAGCAATACATTCATATGACTTTGCTCCCCCACATGAAGTAGCAATTCAACACAAAGGAGGAACGAGAGCAATGGGTGTAGTGTTAATATTGAGTGTTAATTTTTCCAAAATTTATAAGCAAATAAAAAGTTTTTAGTAAAAATGGATTTATCAATGGTTTTATCTGCTATCCAATAACAAATAAATTTAAACCTAAAACAAGAAAGGAAAGCTAACTTTGGGCGGAGCCGTAGTTGATATACCCTTGCAGTTAAAACCGGATATATATCGCAATATATATTGGATATAGTTGGCCGATCCTTATGAGAATATGATAATATAACTCAATTTGTTATAAAAAAAAATCTAAAAAAAATCCCAAAATTCTATCATCAAAAATACCAAAGTTGGTTTTTCTATCAAAAACTATTTCCGATCGTTCAGTTATATGGCAGCTATAAGATATTGTTATGATGATTGATGGGTCGAGGTTAAATGGAAGAGGTCATTGATCTTGACAGAGGTTATTGACCTTGGTAGAGGTCATTGACCTTTACAGAGGTCATTGACCTTGACAGACGTCCTTGAGAAAGGTCATTGACATTGGAAGAGGTCATTGACCTTGGCAGAAGTCATTGACCGTTACAGAGGTCGTTGACCTTGACAGGGGTCATTGACCTTGACAGAGGTCATTGACATTGATGATCGTTATGAAATTTGGTAGGTCGGATTACCTGGCCAAAAATATAAGAAGAAAAATTTGTAGACTTTTAAAATTCACTTGGGGATCACTTTATAGCTTCAAGAGACTACAATGGCAAATATTCGCACTGGGGAAAACGTCTCGTGATTCCGAAAGGAAGGAAATTGTACAATGCAATTATAACTATGAGAAATAAACTGGACTATGTTTCCCCTGGAAGCCTCCCATAATAGCGAACAGACTTACGTAAGCTACATCCCAACAAGCAAATCGAACAGAAAAGAGGGGCACGTATCGTGAATGGCAAAGCAATAGTTCGTCAGCTTCAAAGCAACGCCCCCAGCAAAGGCAGCCACCCGATCACCCGACCAGGCTATTCACCAACAGGAAGAAAATGCACAGCTGCGGTTCATCCAGAATATTTTTCTAACATGTTTTCCCTGTGGACGGCTGATCCAAATCTTAGCGCTCCATTTGTGACGACCACCCTGATAAAAAACTTTTCGGGATGCTAGGCTTGCAACGACAAAAACAAAGCTAAAGCATTTGCTACAAACCTCAAAAGTATCTTGTAGCTAAATCCTGCCTCGAGTTAATTTTTTTTGCTACTAATTCAAAAACACACTTTCGACATCGTACAGACCAATAAGCCTATCTTCTTTGTCTAAACGGTTCGAAAACCATTTTTAAATTAACTTGTTAACTTACAGCTCACAATACTATCCCGACATACCAATTTGTCTTCCGAAGAAACCATGGATGCATCGAGCAAGTCAATAGCGTAACATAAAAAAACCACAGCCTTTGAAAATCGAGAATACTGTAGTGCTATTTTTCTTGAGGTATTTGACGCGGAGTTCCACGAGGAAGCGCACTCGGATCTTGTCTATATATCCTATATACTGCGGATATTTCTACGTCAACGTTCCTACAAACTACTACTAACATCAACGTTCGCCGACGATACCGCGATCTTCAGTCGCTCCGGATGCCCGACCTGAGCAACAAACAACCTGCTAATCATCTTAAAGTGTTAACATATTTCGTTTACTCTTAACATGATCTTCTCTTGCACTAAACTGTATGCAGATCCCCCAAGCTTATAGGTAGCGTACATTGGGTGCACTTTAATAGACGACTTCTTTGGCAATATTGAGATCATACACCAAGGCATCCTCGCAGTAAAAGACAAAATCCAGAAGCTAAAACTGTCCTGCAAAGAAAAACCGCCTTCGCGCCCGAATTTTTCGCTCGGGCCTTAAGCGGATCCCGCCTGCGGTCGTTGAGCCGACCTCCCAACCTAACAATACATTTTTATGGACGTCTTTTATGTATCAGTCTTTGTCTTTGTCTTAATGTTAGTAAGGTTAAAATTTAAAAAGTGTACCAAATCTGGTACACTTTTTTCAAGAGAAAAAAGAAAGTTAAAAGACTTAAAAACTTAAATTCTTCAAACATGCGGGACAGAGTTTTTTTGTGGTGCCACGAAAAAGAGCTTTTAACTAAGAGAATCGTTGTCGTATAAACTTACTGACAAATGGACAGACGGACATGTTTATATCGACTTTCTCCTTTCCGACTCTCTATCGATGTCTCCGTCACTGCGTTGCCCACTTTTGATCAATGTTATAAACCCCTCAGAAAGCCTATAAAAATAACTAAGCTTATAATAAAAATGTATTTCAATGTTTTTTTTTTTTAATCATTAAATATATTTCAACATACCAGATATAGATATTTTTTTGGTATCCATTTCTGTTCCTGGATCTGATGAATCAAATTGAAAGATTGATTTAAATTTATCAATGGTAAACGTCAAAGATGTATTATCCTTTTTTTTTTTCGAAGTAAATTCGGCAGCAACTTCAATACCGAGGGGAGCTAAAGGTTGGTTTACCATAATATACGTTTCTATGGTTGGTAAACGTAATGAGCTTTGATTGATACAAGAAAGGGTGGTACGAACTTCTATGTTTCGTCTTCCTATTGTTGGGTTTGGTTTAACATTAATGTATTGAATTTTGCGCATCAGTTGTTCAATATCGTGCTTAGCGTTTGCTTGAATATATATTTCATTCATTTGTAGGTTTGCTTGAACTTTTGTGTTTACTAAGGCTGTTGTATAATTTTTTGTTTCAACACTTTCCGGCGGCAGCAAGTGCTCAGCGCAACAAGTTCCACATTTTATATCGTTGGCATTTAAAACACCATCAAATGTAAGCTTAACCTCTGATATGTCTCCATTAAATCCATGCTTCATTCTGTTTTCGGAACTTTGATAGCACGCACCAATAGCTAAAGAAGTATTAACACCATGAGCAGCATGTAGTGGCCAATCATCAATTACTTCTGGGTTACTATGTCGATCCTCAACCGAATTTTCAAATTGAATACCGTCAATAAATAAATCCACTTTCACTGGGTCAACGACATTTATAACATAATGATGCCATTCATTGTCACAGACCTGAGGTATTTTCCAACGCCATTCAGCTGGACTAAAAATGTTTATGTCCCCTTCGTTAAAGTTCTTTCTCAATAAAAGAATAAGACGACAGTTCCTAACAAATAATGCCATGTGGTGTCGATTCATTTTATGGTCGTCAGCGCTACACATTATATGCTCTTTGACATGTTTATTTATCGTTCCTCGACTGCTGTGCCGGAACATTGTAAGTATACTAAACGAGCGAGAAGAAAAATCGTAGTGATCAAGAACCGTTTGGGGCACTACCACCCCCAATGATCCGTCAAAGTGGAAAATTGGTTCGACACCTTCATCATAATTTAATTCTTTAGTCCAATCTGCTCTTTGGGGTAAGAGGTCCATCATTCTTTGGCTTGAATTGCAACTTCTTAGGTCACGATCGCATCCAAATGATATATGCTTGGTCTGAAAAATAGATTGAATGATAAGAATTATATTTTTATTTAATTGTATTATTTAAATATTGCGGAATGTTACAATTAAAGCCCACAGAGATCGTCTGTCTATCTGAACGGCTGTCTTTCTGTCTCTACTCGAACTAGTCCCTCAGTGTTTAAGCTATCGACTTTGGACACGTCCTACTTTCCTCTGCATGGAGTTATCCAAGTATATCCTGCAGCTGACATGTCTGGATTTCTAACTTTTGGTTGGGATTTCCCACCGACCACATTTTGGCCAAATGATTCGATTTACACAATTTCTAAAAAATCTTCCATATATATATTCTATAGCTGAAATATAACTTAACGATCGGAAATGACCCAAGTTAACACTCTACACATTCTATTTTTGGCAAACTTATCCGATTTACCAAATTTCATAAAAATCGGCCAACTTTATTTGCTATTTGCATCTTAACTGATCTTAGCTGAGGTTATATCCATATCGGTACCATCCGAAGTTAACTTTTCTGTTAAGTGTAAAATTATGGTTTTTTTCGAGTGGTCACGTAGGTTTATTTAATGAGGATATGTTTGATGTTGTGGATTTACATATAAACGAATTATTTTTTAGTTTTTCGTCTATGCTGATTCTTTTGAAGCTTAAAACTAACGATCTCGCTGGATAAGTTTCCAGTCTTGTTCTGATATTTTCAGTCCCCTGTCAGCCCCTGTCAGACTACAGTTTATTTCGGCCTTTCATAATAAATTCTTAGCGTTCTTGCGAGAATAGCAGATTCAGTCGTCCTTCCAGTTCTCGTCGTCACTTTTTGGTAGCTCACACCAGTTCATCTTATCAGATGCATAATCCGAGTTATATCTCTGCTTTTGTTGAGAATAGAGATCTTCAACTAGATATCTGCCGTTTGGCTGCACCTTGTTGACAATAAAATTTACTTTATTATGAGGTTTCAATTTTCTTAAAATACCCGTCCTAATTGGATCGTTTTCTACAACAACAATATCTCTTAGCAAAGGTGGGCTTAGAGTCCCATCGTAACGTCTCTATGCTACAGCCTTTCGATCATTAACCCTCGTCTGGATGTAGCATCTCCATCTCGACGTCTGTCATTAGGTTCTTCTGTTGACGTTGGATCACGTTGGATCACGCTCGTCAATGTACATATTCTTCAGAATACCTCGTGGCTCGAGGCTGAAGCTGAACATAGTTGTGCTATTTAACGTCCCACCGCTTTTCGTTGCTATTTGAAGGCGTTTTTCGGGGTAAATGATGGCCCTCGGTGCCCTTACAGTAGAGGGGGGAAAAAGGCACACATGTCTAAAATGTAAATGTATGCGTAGCATAGAAAAACAAGAAAGCAAAGCTAACTTCGGGCGGAGCCGAAGTTGATATACCCTTGCAGCTAAAACCGGATATATATCGCAAACATCGGATATAGTTGGCCGATCCTTATGATTACATCATAATAAAACCAATTAATTACAATAAAAAATCTAAAAAAAAGTCCCAAGCTTCTATCTTCAAAAAAACGAAAGTTGATATTTCTACCAAATACCATTTCCTATCGTTCAGTAATATGTCAGCTATAAGATATAGTCGGCCGATCCTTATGAAATTTGGCATGTCGTATTATTTTGCCAAAAATAGCTTTCATGTAAAGTTTGACTAACTTTTAAACACTTAAAAACTCTAACTTTAAAAACACCAAAGTTATACCACTTCCGATCAATCAGTTATATGGCAGCTATAGGATATAGTCGGCCGATCCCGGCCGTTCCGACTTATATACTGCGTGCAAAGGAAAGAAGGGTGTGTGCAAAGTTTCAAGTCGATAGCTTTAAAACTGAGAGACTAGTTTGCGTAGAAACAGACAGACGGACAGACAGACAGACGGACATGCTCATATCAACTCAGGAGGTGATCCTGATCAAGAATATATATACTTTATAGGGTCGGAGATGTCTCCTTCACTGCGTTGCACACTTTTGGACAAAATTATTAAACCCTCTGCAAGGGTATAAAAATGTAATTTAAGATACGTATATACTTTAGAATTAAGAACTTAAATAAGAGAATGGCTGTCCAAAAACAAAAACAAAGAATTATGTCAAATTCAAAACTAATTAAAATAAAATTATAAGCACTCCAACTCTTGTCATAACTAAGAAAAACTTTTAGCCCCATGCACCGTGTGAGGGTTAATCAAAGTACTATATAGCCGTTTCACTCGCACTATTCAACGCTTACTATGTTAAAATTAAAATAAGTGACTTAAGTCAACGAATGGACTACCTTGTTTGCCCCCCGCTGCCTTACAGCGTTAAGTATATGCTTTACATTGTTCGACTTGCAAATTTTTTGAAATCTTTTGAAGTGAAGGCGGTACATTATTCGGTGATGATTCATCTTGGCATTCCCAAAGGCTCGTGAAGTCTTGCAGGATATGCAAAACATACACAATTGCTATTTAAGCATTGAGCACGATTGTATATACAAATTTTAAAGATAGAGTTTCAAGGGATCGGAGCCATGAAATAAAAGACAAACAGCATGGTCTAAAACCGATTCCCTGCAGCATAACACAAATACATACATAAGGGGAGCGCTTATCGCACTTGAGAAAGGGTCGCATAGCAGGTCAGCGTGCAGTGCGCTGACCAGTAGTTTTAAATAGATTTAAGATTTTCATGTATATTTCTTATAAGAGAATTGTACAAAATAACAACAGTTTCAAAACGGAACTCATTGGAGTAACCCCTTTATTTGGGGCTCCTCTTAACAGTTGCAGTACTTTTTGTTTCTCCCACTATGGTAACGGAATTGATAATAACCAGCACATGTTCATTCCTCTTTGAACTTTTTGAAAAAGGTCCTTGGTGTTCCATGTGTATCGTAGAAGATGGGATGGGTTTTGATGTCATCATAATGATACTCTCCTTCATGGCATCCTTCTGTTATTTTTCAGCGCAACCTATACATTATTTACAAAGATATCGGAATACGTGGTATTGAAACAGCTGTTCGGCACAGCCCATAGAAAGTTGTTGTATTTACGAAGTAAGCGTTCTTGCTCCATCACTTAGTCATCGCTCTCAGTTTTCTTAGGATTTGTCGTATCAGATATGATGTTCAGAATCTTTACACCTTCTAATTTTATTGCTAATAACCAGTCGTCGTTAGGGGTTTAATCAATCTTTAGGCCATCTCCAATCTTTAGTAACTCTCCATCTCATGGGAGTAACCATACGGTGCCTGCTCGATGTATAATCTCTATGTTGTGTATTCTTGTATTCTTAACTACCATTTTCCATTCGGGGTATAAGTTTCTCCTTATTCATTGATAATTTCAAGGCCTTAAAATCGGTAACGAGTCGAACATTCTTACCATAAACTTAGTACTGGAACATTCTAAACGGCGAACAAAGATGTGGCTCGACTAAAATATGCATATGGCTTGAATTTAACCTCCTTATTTTATATCAGTACCCTGGCTAAACCAACAGCACTGGCATCCGTGTTCAGCATCGAATAGGTTGTAATAACAGGACTCGATGTCAGGCTTTTCTTCAATTCGGTAAACCCATCCTCTTGGCGATACTTTTATTTTAATCCTTGCGCTTTTTGTAAAGTCTCTGATATTCCGGCTTTATATATGTAAAGCGTATCCGGCCACAATTTTTTCTTAAATGTCCTGTGAGGCCTAAAACTTGTCTAACTTCGGTAACATTGGTGTATGTTGGGAACATGAAAATAGTACTAATCTTTTCTTTTCATGGGCTGATTTAAGCGGCGTGTATTTGGTGTCCTAGAAACGTAATAGATTGCTCATACAACTTCCATTTGTCTAGATAGAGATAGGTAGAGTTAATACACTTTCCCGCTGGACGATGATTACTGTTTACGTGAGGGGCCGTTGGGCCGCCGCTCAGCTGTACGTAAGAGCGCACCCGCGCTGAAGAGCTCATCCGCTCGCCCCTTTATGCACTCTCGCTCTCTCGTCGGCCGTCATCGATCGTCCGTTTTGAGGTACTAGTTAAGTTTAATCCAATGTAAGCAGCCCAATAAAGCTGAACGCGCTTCTTGTAAATTTAACGAGGACGCCCCCGACTTTTCATTTCAACTTTACTCCTGGAACCTTTGCGGCAACAGCGTCCCCCTACAACAATTACTTTTCCTATTCCTTGCAATCTTGTAGAGAAAAAATCTAAAACTTGTATAACAACAGGCGCATTTGACTTCTTTCCTGAGCTTAGTGCATGTTAGGAAGAAGCTTATGCGTACCACTTTCCTTTGTAATCTTGCTTCACATTTGCATCTTGTCCCAACAAAAGGTCTTATTTCAAAAGATCGTCGTCAGCTATGTATTCTTTGGCTTTAATGGTTTTTCCTTCGACATCCAATGTATAACTATTTCTTTGGAAAGAATACATGATACATATGCCTCCAATCTTTATTACTTATGCCGATCTGCGTTTATGTCTTTAGCAACTGGCTGTCCCACAATACTATACTGGCTACCAGTATTAATAAAGGCGTTATAGCTTTTCGAATTGAAATTGTAATATTCTGGTGACTAACTTGTCCTAATTCGATTCACTTAAATGCATCACCTTTGCAGCTTGGCAAGTTTCTGTGGTTGCATGGAAAGTATTGCTTTTGGTACATCGAAGATTTTTCTTCTCACTCGGACACGAATTGGAAAAGGGTCCCAACTCTCCATACTTGAAACAGGTCTTAGCATCCCTAAGTTTGGCAGGATTCGTGTCGTTGTCTTGCTTTGAGATCAATTTTGCTAAAATTGGGTACAAGCTCCTTATGTTTGTTTCTGCCCAACCTCTGTTCACAAAATAGAATTCGGATGTCTTTTTTATTTGCTCTTTTGTTGCTGTAAGTCTGCGCGAACATATCTAATGATAGCTGCTTCGTTAAGATTCTCCCGCACTCCTAGGGCCGACTTTCGAAAACTATACTCCTTCACTGCCTCTTTAGCTCGTCTGGCATTG